CTCGTTAACGGTTATCGAACTCGTTATGCTTTTTCGTAAGTACCACTTATAATATATTTTTTACAGTTTTAACACAAAAATAACAAAATCTTGCTTTCCCAGTAATTTATAATGTTAAGTAAAAACAAATTTGTATATCTTTCAAGATCCCTTTTGATTAGTATTAATATATATAGAGATATACTTACATTATTTCATTATTGCGTATGATTTTAACAGCAACATTAGCATTTCCACGTGCCTGGTCACGTGCTCTTACAACATTACTAAATACACCTTGACCTGTGTAGCCAGAAACTGTGTAACGATTATCTAATGTTTCGCCAATACGCACGCGATAGTATCCTTCTGCATCGTCCCAATTATCAGTAAGTGCCGGGTTTTCAATTTGGTTTTTGTTATGAACAATTGTATTTGGTGACTTGAAAATAAAAACATTAAAATTGTAAGCATATTTCTTTTTTTATATATATGTCTATTCATTTGCGATAGTTACAAACACAAAACTCACATCGAACTTTGAATCTACATCTTGGTCTGCAAACATATCCCACTCTGGTCGTTTTTCTTTGCCACTATTTTTAGTTTGTTGCTTTTTTCCCTCACCTGTTGCGGACTCATTGTTGCCTTCAGTAGACTCTATTATCTTATCTGTTGTGTTCTCTAGATTTGTAGATTTATTTTCGCTTTTCGTTGCTATAGGGAGCGGCTTAACATCCTTCTTCTCATTTGGTTCAGCTTTTGTTACGTCTTCAGTATCGCTATTAGATTTTAATTTCTATCAAAATAAATACATATGATTAGAAAATGTTATGTTAAATTTTGATTTATATACTTTTAAAAGCTCCTCTCGTTGTTTACGCCGCATCTCAATAATTTTTTCTTCATCGTCATCTTCGTCATTTATATCTATATCTAAATTCAGTTCGCCGTCGCTACTCGATTCATTCATTTTTTGGTTTTGACCTTCACTAAGAGAATCACGATATTTATCTGGACGAACACGAGGACGATCACGATCACTACGCCTTTCTTCTCTCTCTCGTTGTAAGCGATCACGTTCATTGCGTCGACGATCTGATTCTTCTTTACTACGACTATGTGAACGTTCACGATTCCAACGATCTCTATCACGACCTCTTTCTCTGTCTCTACCCCTATCTCTATCACGTTCCCGATCACGTCCTCTGACAGAACTATCATCATAACGTGACCTATTTTCTCTTGCTTTGCGTTCACGCTCCCTGCTGTTTCTTTCACGTTCCTTATCACGATTAATTTCCTGACGTAAATCTTCTTTATGTCTATTTTGATCAATAAGTTCACGACGCTGTAGACTTCGACTACTTTCTCGTTGATTTTTATATGTATCTAATTCCCGCCGTGGTGTTCGGCTTCGTGTACGTCTTCGCTGTTTATGGTATTCATTTTCATACTCTTTGCGAGCTGATGACCGTTTTGGTGAACTTATACGTTGGTCTTTCTTTGTATCATTACTGCTAACACGAGGTTTGCGTTGCCTTTCCGGTGTATTATGACCACTAGAATCATCCAATAATATTACAACTGGTTCAGTAGAATTTGATTTAGAAATTTTATTATTATTTTTACTAATATGTGAAGTTGAAGGGCTGGAAGTCTTTTCCTTGGCTCCTACTGCCACAGTTATGTCAAAATTTTGCTGTGCACTGACTTGCTGTTTCTCAATTAAATTTGTATGTTTATCCTCACCCTCGGATTCTGACATGTAAGCACCTAAGCGCGCTTGTAGTAAGGCTTTCTGTTTCATCAGGTCTTCTAAGTTAAGATCGTCTTCAATTATTGCCACTTCGGGACTAACATCATCATTTGGACTTTATTCATTAAAAAGAAATTACGTAAAATTATGAAACTAAAATATTTATATATACGAGTAACACATTTTAATCTACTTACACTTCGCTATCACTACCCGAACTTCCAACTTCCATTACAGGCAAGACTTTGGTTTGTATGGTTCTAGTAATTTCTTCAACTAAACTACTGGGATCTGTTTGCATATTAGGTCTTGTTATACTAAATTTATTACCATTGGCGTGTTGTTCAACACGTAGAAAACTTGTCGTATCCTTGCTGGCTTTTTGCATTATTTCCGCAAATTTTTCATTTAAAGTGGCTGGTGTACGCTTAGTAGTGGAAACTTCAGATGCCATATCTGAAGATTCACTTTGTCTACGTCTTTTTTTATATTTCTTGTGACTCTTATGAAATTTTTCAGTTTTGTTAGATTTCTTCTGCTTTTTATGTTTTTTCGATTTTTTGTGTGATCCGGACAGACGTTTGGAACGTTTTTCGCTATCAGTGCACGCACTTAAGTCGTCGCTATTAACAGAAAAACAAACTATTAAACTTCTTTTTCATAACCTCAATTTCTTACTTACCTATTTTCATCACTTGACATCTCAAACTATATAATAATAAATTATTTCTGATTAGTCTTATTTGAACTAATATGAGCGCACGAAATTGAATTTCTTATTGTTTGAAATAGATTCTTTTTTTTAAATATGAATTAATAGAATGCAAAACTAGTATATAACCAATAGTGCCCAATAAATAAGGAACAAAAGCAAATGGTTTGACATTGACATTTAAGTGTTTTTTGTTTTATGCTAGATGGCACTGCCAGCGTTTCGATTAATTATCGAAGTAATTGCATTGATGAATCGGTTAACTTTTCATAATTTATATAAATTGATCAAATAATGAGTCAGTAATTTTTGCATAAAAGAATTTTGTTTAAACTGAATTTTAGTTTTAAATGTTTCGTGAATAGAAAATTAATCGAAGATATTAAAATTCTTTGAAATTTGCTGTTCAATACCCATCAGTGCCATAATTTCTTTTTCATTAAAGTTAAATTTCTTAAAGTATACAATAAATTAATTAACAACAATCATCATCATAAAAATCATTTTTTAGTGTGCTTTTGTTTACAATTTCAAATTTGTTTGGATTCGCGGCTTCATTTTTTCTTATAAGAATGTTTGAAGACATCCATCACTAAATTAATGCCTTTAAAAAATAAATACACCTTTATCTCATAGGGCTTGCAAAGATTTCGTGAGGATATTGTACGGTAAACGCTATGCAAATATTAAAATAAAAGTGAATTTGGGTTTAATGCGACAGTATAAACATAGTGTAGACTTGTACTATGAATATTAAGTCTAGTACTGCATTAAAACGAGTTAATTCAATTTATATAAATGCCATAACATAAATCTGTTTTCAATGTTTTAATATACATATTTTGTCATCACACTCAGAATCAATTACTATTTAAAAATTTTTTATGAAACAAGCACAAGTAGGAAAGGAATTTAATACTAAACATATTGTGCACAATTATAAACTCTTCAGCTAGATTAAAAAGTTAATATTAGATAATAATATATTGATAAAGTATTTTGAAAAAAAATTATCGAAAATTTTTAAAAAAATTACCTCGAACTGTTATAATTTACAAGCTTCTTTTTATAGAGAGATTTAAAGGACTAAATATGTACATATGTAGTTAAAGAAATTTAAATAATGCTTTTGAATTACTCTTTAAATGAATTTTTTTCGGATGACCTTTTCTTATTTACTTATGTTACCAATGATCTTTTCACTCAGTTATTTAAAATTAAGCTCCTAGTTCTATTATACACATTTTTTTTCATTATATCGATAAATATTATTTTTATTATAGCATGTGGAAAGGATCAAAACCCACATGAATTGAAAAACCTTAGCCATCAGACTTATAAAGTATCTGACTGAAATTAGATTCTAGTAATAAGGGAGAAAAGATTTAAGAAGCTTAGTATTTGTATTTACAAATTTATTTAAGCTAGCCATATCGATCAAGAAAGCATTTTCTGCATTTATACCATTTATGATATGCATACTATATATTAAATTTAATGTCGGGCTTAAATTATTTCAAGTTGGTTACATTTTTTATTAACTTAAAACCTTTAATTTAATAAAGGTAAAAAATTATTGAAACTAATAATAGTCCAAATCTAGAAAAAAATGAAATTACTAAATAAATAAAATTAAACTTATTTTTAATTAAATTATAATATAGAATTTTTGATTCAAACAAATTTATTATAAATGCTGAATAAGTTAAACGAAGATAAAAAAATAAAATAATCAATGAAGTTATTAAAAGCATTATTAATAATATTATTCTATTATTAATAATTTAGGAGTTGTATCTACTAAACCAAAATAGCTAATTGGAATGAATCTTTACACAAAATCTATTATAAAATGGAGTCCCATAAATTCCAAATTTCTTTTATTCCAATTTTTTATATAGAAAAAATTAATAAAATATAACACGAAAAATTATATTTATAATCATAATAGCTGGTCTAAATTAAAATTTTCGTATTGTAAAATTTGTTTCGTTTATATCTTATATTACGAAAAAATAAGCATTTGAAACTATAAACACTATGTTTATAGAGAATTGATGGGGCAAGTAATAAAATTTTCCATATCCTTCTAATTTTTACTGTTTGTTAGATTTTATTGGTCATACTTCATATTAACAGCATAACAATTGAATAACTTTGTGGCAGCTTAGATTTATTATATTAAATAGGATTTTCACTTCGTAGCAGTTTCAACTCAAATTATATTTTCAGCTTTCGTATTTTTCAACTCTGGATTTATACTGAAATTTTTAGTTATCGTTTTAATGTCTATCAGTAGCATTCATAATTCCAAATACGCCAGTCAGTTTCATGTTTTCTTAGCAAATATTATTTATGACTTGTGAATAGTGAAATTCGTTATAATGAGCATTTTCAAGTAACAACCAAGTACAATAGAGTATACCAAATTCGTATACGCACACTCTTGAAGTGATATTAATTTCTTAATTACTCGTTGAATTTGTAATATGAAACAGTTAATAATAAAACTAATACTGTTGATTAATGAATATAAATAATTATTAAACATTTAAAATAATATATATATTTTTATTCCAAAGAATATTCAGTCATCAACTGCATATGTTAATTAACTTTAAGTTTTCCTTTTGTTTCCTTATAACCTATAATTTCAAACTTTTTAAAATAGCGTATTTTAATATTAATATGTAAAGTTTATTAATTAATAGTAGTAACAAAGGAGTTTACTCTAAATTTATTCTGGAATTTCGCCACCTGGTACCAGCTGTAATTATAACAATCGTTAAAAAAATATTAAACTTTGTCAGTTATCACGTACCATCGTTATATTGTTGCCATTCAATAAGATTTGATCCAGCTTAGTGATACGTCGGCCTTCAGGTGTGTTTTCATATTCTGTGACATCGTCTAACAGCATATTAACAAAGTCATCGAATCCGAGTAAAGTACCCACAATTTCTTTATCATTCTTCATGATAATATGTATGCGGGAACCAATGCATTTGTCCACGAGCTCTATAATAAAATTAATACATCACCCGGCATTTAATAGTTACGCTAATTAACGTTTACCTAATGGAAGTAGCGTTGAAACATTTGTTGGTGGTGGTACAGCAGTCATTTTGATTTTCTTCTAGTTATTATAATAGCTACTTAAGGAAATAAAGACTTATCCAAGAATGCCCGCAAATGTTTTGCAACGCTTATAAAGCCAATATAAACACGCTTGACATATCCCCAATTTGTTTATATGACAGCAGCACTGTCAAATATGGTACTATTCACAATAAACAAATATCCATTTTTATTGTGTAGAGTCGGCTGAAATGTTCATCAATTAAATTGACATTTTATATATATTTATTCTTATGAAAGTTTTCAGAAATTAATATATTTGACCAATGGGATGTCTAAATCGTATTATATGGTTGACAGTTTTTGTTAATTTTGACCAATTATGAAATATATAAATAATCAAAAATACAACTATAAAAATGTTAGATTACTCTAATAACGATCGATTGGATAACAGCAAATCTACATTTAATCTAGATTTACCAATTACTCATGTTCATGTATGGTTATATATTTTCAGAGCATCCTTTATAATATTGGCATTTTGTGGTCGAATTAATACACAATTTATTACATTATACGTTATGCTGCATTGTCACCCAGATCTCGATCCATGGTTTAGTTTTCTCATACCTACTGGACTGACTGGACTATAGATAGACGAGTTTTTGTTAGTACACTGATACATTGTTTACCCTGACAACTCAAAATGAAAGAGCTGGCATTTGTACTTCTTCCTAAAAACTGGGTCCTAGCATATCGTTTCGATTACCGTACCATTGCACTGTCTTGCAGGCTGAAGAATGCCTGCATTTTGCTGCATAGTGGCGACTCACGATTTTAGCATAGTTGCATCTCTCTGATCTTAAGACCGAGTTGATCAAAACTGGACAAGAAACGTACCAGTCAGCTGCTTCAAAAAAAGCGTAATCTGCTCAGCATTATGGTTTTAATACTAGAAAGTCATGTTATAAAACTGTGTCTATTCTATAATACCGTTTGTTGTGCTTGTGACCTAGTGAATAAGGAAAACCGTACACTGTATGTGTACGGTTTACGGCGAATGTACGGTAGGTGAATGCCGGACTTGGGAGCGGTTTGTTTAATTCCGTTTCGGAAATTTTGGCGTACCTCGCTCTGGTGGGCCACGCTAAAATTTTTGACTTAATCAAAAAAAATTTGATTGACTTTATTATCATCACTGATACGTTGCTAAAAAGCTACAAATCCTAAACATTTTTGAAACGAAAAATTCATTTTTGAAAGAAATATAGATTAAATACGTAAATATTCAACGCAAGCAATTATAATCAACTGCCAGTTAATTTTCATAAACAACTTCAAAGCTTAGATAACCTTTCAAATAACGATATGCTGTGTGTTTTATGGGATTGAAAGGGAATAATCTATTATGAGCCATTTCCAGCCAGTTGCAATGGTTAATTCGGTCTTCTCTCGCTCCCAACTCGACCGCTTTAATAAGACAATCAAATAAAAGCGACCAGAATTGGTTAACAGAAAAACAGTATTGTTCCATCATGACCCTGTATGTTAACTTGAATTTGGTGTATCTGCCGTATAGCCCTGTCGATCTCTGTAAAACTCTCCTAATGGTGACAAATTGGCCGACCTGTCTGCAGAACTGTTGAAAATCACTTGGTGAAGTTTTTTTTTGCAATTAATCGCAGAATCGGTAGAGCATAGATGAGACCGGAAAAATAGTAAAAAGGTCATAAATAATAAGGACTAATTTAAACTTTATTCAAATTAATGTTTAATAAAGAAAATTTTCTTTGAGAAGACTTTTCAAGGTACCATGGTACATTAGAAAGAGTGACATCCTCAGGGACCTTAAGATTGATCTTATGAAAAAATACATAAACGATAGAGCTCTGAAATTATTTGCGAAAACTGATAGACTTGCCAACACCGCGTTATTGATTCTCAGAATAGTTACAGGCTCCTCGGGAAGGTATGCAAATCTGCTTAGTCTGATAAAGTGATAAACAATAATCCAGTCAAGGTGTAAAGAGGGGTTTTGAAGATACCTCGAGTTAATAGAGAGTAAAAGTGCTCAAGTACACTGGCTCCAATAGCTTCAATATAGTTAATAAAGAAAATTTTTGTTGAAAATCTAATAAAAAACGTTAAATTTTTTGATATTTCCCAATATAAATATTGCAAACATTTTATTGACAAATTTTTTAGATTTTAGATCGCTTTAATCAACTCTCAATTTGGCTAGAGTTGCTGAATATTTGATTGGAAGTAAAGTGCATTAAAGTTATGTAAATAAATGAACAAGAAAAAGTCTATGGAAGTTTCCACATTTGACCAGTTTCTATTTGAAAATGGTTGTGGCACATGCGTGCTGCGGCAGGTACCGGTGGCCAAGAACAATTGTTGCAACATGTGCCCCATCATTACATTGTTGCATGTCTGCTCGTGCTGTGTGTTTACAAAATATTGAATAAATTTTGTTTTTAATGAGAGCAACTCAGCCGAAAGCTAACGCGCATGTTTCCATATGCGGGCAGAGCACTTCCGTTCAGCACTCAATCCATATTGAGCACCGTCAAAATATGAAACCGACTCCAAACTCCGATATGAAATTTCATACGAAAAGTGGTAGTTTGCATACATCCACAAAGGTTAATACAAAATATTTTTGGTCAGTTAAGTAAGAATCAGTTCTGCTTAAAACTGTGACGGACGCGGTACAATAGGACCGGAAGTTATTAAAAAATATTGTAATTGAAAAATGTATATGCATAAAAAAATTATTATAATGTGCAGAGTATTATAATATATTTTTTTTCTTTATCAATATCAATAATAAAATAATTTCAAAAGTTGTGTAACTCACATTATGTTACTTTTCCGAGCAAACGCTGCAGTTCGATAATAGTATGAAGAGTCATGATAAAGAATGGAACTATATCATAAATGATAAAATTTAATAAATAATAAAAATACAGCATAAATGCACCTATTGTTTTTTTAAATAGAAATGTAGTCGGTACGTCACATCACATAATAGAATTGCAAATCATGTTTGTGTACAGAAAAAGCTATAGACATCCTGAAGGCAACGCATATTTTCAGCACAGGAATAAATCGATAGCAATTTGCTCTGTGTAAATTTTGTGGCATAAAGTCAAAGACACTTAATTTCGTCCTCGCTGCCGCAGGAGAATGCAGACGCTTGACAACGTTAGCAAAAATAATCATTAAATTGCATAAAATCCGTAATAGTATAAACTTATATCAGCACTCGAAATAGCACAAGCCTCATTGAAGCCTCAACGTCCTCACTTGAATCCGCACCACCACCAGCACCAGCATCAGCTTTATATACACATCACACAATGGCTGCAGCAAATCCAATCAGCACAAGTTGTCAAAGCATTGCCTCGGTTAGCAATAGTTTGAATCCTTCATCCAGTTTGGGTAGTGGCAGTGTACGTAGCAGCGGCAACCATTACGTAAACGGCACTGGCAGTTTGGGTCGTTTAAAATACTACAAGCACAAAAGTCTAGACGGCAGTGATGATGAGGAACTCGATTACTCACAGGTAAAAAAAAAACAAAAAAAAAATTCGGATTAATTAATAAGAAAGTAACTCTATACATAAATTAATTTAACTAATTATTTTAGTTCGTTGTGGATATTAGCCGTTCTATTTAATTAGGGTAGGCACCCCTTAGTGTTTGTCCTTATGAAGTATATGAAGTAACTTCATATACGTTTTGTATTAATAGAAATTAGTTGAATTGCTTGCTTTTCGCAGTACTGCGTAGTCCATTTGACTAACTGCAACCAATTGACCTCATACAGCTTTGCACAGCAGTTCATGTGTTCATAATGTATTGGTCATCCATCGACTGTCAAGTAATTTGTTACACGTTTTCGTTATTTTCGGGAAGAGCTACGTTAGTTGACATATTTAACACCCTGTATGTTAAGTCGTGTAGTTAATTTAATTATGTCATACACGAGTGGATACAGTATGGGAAAGAAATCATATGTGTTTAATTGTTTTCATAACAGCTTTTTTAGGGTTTCGTAGTAATCAAATCATACGAATTATTTGATATCTGCAGAAGTAAGAAAAACCCATCGAGCAGAATAAACTTTATACGACTAAAGGGTTTCGTAATAATCAAATCAGAAGAATTATTCGATATCTTCAGAAGTAAGAAAAACCCATCGAGCAGAGTAAATTTTATATAACTAAAGGGTTTCGTAATAATCAAATCAGAAGAATTATACGATATCTTCAGAAGTAAGGAAAACCCATCGAGCAGAATAAACTTTATATTACTAAAGGGTTTCGTAATAATCAAGGATTTCGTAATAATCAAGTCAGAAGAATTATTTGATATCTGCAGAAATAAGAAAAACACATCGAGCAGAAAAATCTTTATATAACTAAAGGGTTTCGTAATAATCAAATCAGAAGAATTATTTCATATCTTCAGAAGTAAGGAAAACCCATCGAGCAGAATAAACTTTATATTACTAAAGGGTTTCGTAGTAATCAAATCAGAAGAATATCAATTGATATCAATATTAGAAGATATCAAATCGATATCTTTGGAAATAAAAAAAATCATTCAAGCAGAATAAAGTTTATATGACTGAAGAAGAAAAGTTTCAAACAAAGAAAGATATAGAATTGTGCTAATAACTTATTAGTTATTGACAAACTATTGTATTTTTATGTGTGGAAGAATATAGTAAGAACTTAGTACCTGAAGTGACTTCTCTAATATTTACAATGTAACTTATAAAGTGAGCCAAGATCATATAACATAATATTAAATTTCTGAATTCTCTTGTAATTTAAGTTTCAAAGGGACATGAGTGTATTAGTGCTGAAAATCATGTAAATTTCTTAGGGATTTCAGTGGTTTGAAGATACTTTATAATGATTTAAAGTTCACAGATCCCACAGTTCACTTGTAATTTTAGTTTCAAATGGACGTGAATGTATTTGTGCTGAAAATCACCTAAAAATTCTTAAGAGTTTCAGTGGTTTGGAGATACTTTATAGTGATATAGATCTCTTCCAATTCCTATTAATATATATAATAATTGCATATATACAGATTTCATATATATTGTATAAGAAAAAAAAAACATTTTTATTCGAGATTTTTGAATTTTGTGCCAAATATTTGTATTTAATATTAAATAAATGAGATATAACTATTAAAAAACATATATATTTAAAATATAAAGAAAGAAACATATAAAAAGTAATTACTTTTCTGTTAAAAGTTTTCAAATTTTTTTATTAAAAATCTTATAAAATTTTCACAATGGTAATACCTAATTCACTAAATTTGTATCTAATTTACCCTACTTGAAATTTTGGTAAATACCAACATTCGCTGCCATACCGACATAATTTACTATTTCCCTCAATTTTCTATAAATTTACTAAAACTCGCACACGGTCTTAATGAGAAATTAGTAAATACTCACATATTTTGATTTTACGGCCCTGTATAAAACCTGTATAATAAAAAATACTGTATTTTTATGAAATGCAGTATATTAGAATTGATATTATACTTTCTATTAAAAGATATAAACATAATGATAAGAGATTTAATGAGTTAATTCAAGTTTGTACGATAAGGTATATACATATATCTAGCTTTGGCAGATGGAGAAAATGTCAAAGCTGTAAGCTTTATATGTATAATATAATTGTTATAAATTTCTATGCAATATAACATATTTAAATTTAGTAAAATAAAGCTAAAATACTATTACTACTACTCTAGTTTTATACACTGATAAAAACACCTTAATTTGTGAGGTATGCAAAGGGTCAAAGCTGCGATCATTCATTTAACAATATATAATACGAATCAATTGCTTTTAAAATTGAACTCAAAAATATAAATTTTAGCTTTTAATTATATCACAAATCATATTTAATTAATTTCAAAGTCCAGTGCGACAATTATATTTAATATGCTTTACTGAACTTAAACATTTTGGGATTTGAACTTTATTTAGAATTAATTTGTCTATGTATATTTCTTTCTATCTATTCTAAACATTTTTATGTATAGATAAATATTTTTATTAAAAAAATATATTTAATATTATAATTTAATGACACTTTCTGACAATGCAATCACATGCAATGTCAATTTCAATGTAAACGACGCTCTTAAAATCTAATTACACTTTTTCCGCCAGTGTAAGCCCTTTTGTTCTTTTTCGATTTCAAATAGTTTTCTTTGTCAATGACAATGAACATGCGAATTTGTCTAGTTTCACTTCAGTTAATAAAATTGTTGCTATTTTGAATTGAACGAGCATTTCCGCAGGAGGTGACAAGGTGGAGGAAATAATAAAAGAATGAAATTAAAAGTTTTCGCTTAACAAAAGCCCGTTTGTATGTGTTAGTAAAAGTTTAGTTTGTTTTTAATTTTGTTTTGCTTTTGTTTTGCTTTTGTTTTTGTTTTTGTGTTTGTGTTTGTGAATTTGCGTTCACTGTATAAACACACAAGTAAGTTTTTTCTTTCATATGTGTGCGTTTTGTTCTTGTTTTATTTACTAGTGGTAGGCCCCCAGCTCTTCACTGTGTTACCATTTTCTCTTTTTGCAATTGAAATTCATGATGAGTTTTAATATTTAATATACTCGTAGCTTAAGGATAATTTATGAAGATTGTTCTTAATAAAAGGATAATAATTTCGCAAATCTGTAAGAAAAATAGTGTAAAATATTTAATGTTAATTTTGCAAGCATTTATGTTGTGTAAAAATATATAGAAGAATACTAATATATATAAGTATACATATGTAACAAAATTATTAATATAAAAATAAAGTGGTTTTTTCGAACAGTAGTGAACTACAACA